CTGTTTCTTCCCTGCAAAATAAGGACAAACAGTGGATCAATAGAAGCAGGAAGTGCTAAGAACAAACGTGGATCATAGAGGCAGAAAGTGCTAAGTGTGGTAGATGATCAGTCTGTAATACATAAGAATGCTAAGTCCTTATATTTTACAAAGGAAACAACAAACTTGATTGGGGTCAGGCAAGAAAGGCAGGCAGCATCTCCCAGCAGCAGTTGGAATATGGTTGGTGGAAGATGCAGATCATATGACCAGGTAGCCAGGAAGGTAAAGGCATGAAATTTCACTCAGCGTTCCACTTAGGGTTCAGACCCAGAGAGCTGGCATTAAAGGAAGGGTGTGACCCTCACTCTGTCTGAGGACAAGAGTTGTAACTTGGGCTCTGAAGAAAGGAAACAAGGCAATTTATGGGGAAAATTGATGTACAAGGCACAGGCTGTCTTAAGGAAATGAGAGACAAGGCGAACAACCTAGGTTTGGAAAACCAAAGTACCAAGACAAGAGGGGCTAGTTACAACAACTCAAGGCAATAGTTGGTGGCTAAAAAGCAGTCTCTTTCTTTTCATTCTCTTCCCCTGAAAAGCATGACAAGTTCCAAGGCCTGGAAGCAGGCCACATCTACAAAAGCTGTTCAAGTGACCCTCCCTGTAAGAAGTGTAGAAATGGGAAATTAAGCAAGCCATTATAGGTCTTGAGCAATCATATCTGGGCTGAGAGTTTTATTCTCTTTCAAGTTAATTCCAAGACTGCCAAAGAAATCATCCTAAATATGAAGAATTTCTGGGCACAAAGCCTGTTTTGGTCTGGGTTTCAGGGAACTCTGCAAACCTATGTAAACCTGTATCCTGGGGCAGCCCCAAGTCAGGGCTAGTCTCCTGGGTCTCCCTTATGTCCTTTCTGACTTGTGGACAGTCCATATCCTCAGTCACATTCAAGAACTATTGGCTTCCATAGAAAAACTTAGCCCTTCACCAAATTCTCTATCTTCTGGAAATTCCATTTTCTGGCAAAGCAGGATTAATGTCTATGAAGTTTTTTTCATAAATCTTGGAAAAGTGATGCCAATTCCCCTTGGCTATAATTTAAAATATAACATTCTTAAAATAGACTGAGAGATTAAAATATATCTATGAAATTGAGTTTAAACACCTTGTAACCAGTTTAAGGGCAAAGCTATTTAGGTAATATTTTTTTAATTTTTATGAAAAATATGAGTTCGAGAAGACTAGAACTGAATTTGATGTCTGTCTGAAAATGATCACCAATTAATGTGATTCATAACTCATTATTAAAAAGGGAAAATTGTAGGCTGGTCCTATGCCAGACTCATTTAACTACCATCATGTCTTTCCTTCTTTTTCAGGAACTTGTACTTTGCCTTCTATGGAAGACATGATGAATGATATTAATGAGAAATGGAGAGAAAGCGCAAATGGTAAGAGTACCTATTGTAATAGGAGTGTAGAATTTCCATAGAAAAGTGAGAATTTGTGAATGCTTGGAACTGTTTTAACCTTAAATGATCCTGAATGACGTCATTGAAATGACAGCTACAAGCTATATTCATCCATTCAACAAATATTAATTGAAGACCTACGTGCTTCTGACATGGTATAAGTTATTTTAGTGCAAGGCACAGAGTGGAATAATAGGATTGAGAATCTACATTACATAGTCAGTTTTAGCCCTCCATGCCTCCTGTAATATATCATAGAAAGAAGACCTAGAAAGGATTTGAAATTGGAAGAGTTTGGGAATACATGGATGTGGGCTTCCATTCTCTAGACATAAATCCTCTAAGATGTAAACGATATTCAAAGGTATACCTCTAATGAAAATGACTCAGAAAATGAGAATGAATCTGGAGAACTGGGCTTCATTTCTAGTTGTCAAATTAGCTCAGTGGCCATGAACTATTATAGAAGCGTCACTTGAGCAAGAGACAATCTATCCATTTGATAAGCAAAAAATGTCTTTCTCAGCTACATTGCAGTGTTGGGGTATTTCCAAATGAAACCAATATGAAAGTTCTTTAAAAAACTACAATTGGCGGAGCAAGATGGCCGAATAGGAACAGCTCCAGTCTCCAACTCCAGGCGAACGACACAGAAGACCGGTGATTTCTGCATTTTCAACTGAGGTACTGGGTTCATCTCACTGGGGAGTGCCGGACGATCGGTGCTGGTCAGCTGCTGCAGCCCGACCAGCGAGAGCTGAAGCAGGGCGAGGCATTGCCTCACCTGGGAAGCGCAAGGGGAAGGGAATCCCTTTTCCTAGCCAGGGGAACTGAGACACACAACACCTGGAAAATCGGTAACTCCCACCCCAATACTGCGCTTTAAGCAAACAGGCACACCAGGAGATCATATCCCACACCTGGCCGGGAGGGTCCCACACCCACGGAGCCTCCCTCATTGCTAGCACAGCAGTCTGTGATCTACCAGCAAGGCAGCAGCAGGCTGGGAGGGGCGCCCGTCATTGCTGAGGCTTAAGTAGGTAAACAAAGCGGCTGGGAAGCTCGAACTGGTGGAGCTCACAGCAGAGCTCAAGGAAACCTGCCTGTCTCTGTAGACTCCACCTCTGGGGACAGGGCACAGAAACAATAACAAAAGCAGCAGAAACCTCTGCAGAGCAAACACTCTGTCTGATAGCTTTGAAGAGAGCAGTGGATCTCCCAACACGGAGGTTGAGATCTGAGAAGGGACAGATCCCTGCTCAAGTGGTCCCTGACCCCTGAGTAGCCTAACTGGGAGACATCCCCCACTAGGGGCAGTCTGACACCCACACCTCACAGGGTGGAGTACACACCTGAGAGGAAGCTTCCAAAGCAAGAATCAGACAGGTACACTCGCTGTTCAGAAATATTCTATCCTTCTGCAGCTTTAGGCTGGTGGGCCCAGGGAAGTGGCCAGGAGCCAGAAATGCCATCCTGACCCAGTGGGACCGGTCGTTGAAACCCTTGCAGACACGAGTTGTTGGGAGTCTTCAGAAGCCTTGCTTCTTTTTCCATTGGCTGAAGCTCTTTGCAATTCCTATTCTGTTAATTGCTGTTTTCCTTGTATTGACGTAATCATCATTTTCTCTAGGATTTCCGAAAGTTACTGACAATACCCAGACAACAGCTTTGCTATTTAAAAATTAAAATTTTCACACCATCTACTTTTCTATTCAACATCTTTTGCAGTACTCTGTAGACATTAGTCAGTAGCACAGTGTTATTTCTAGGCTTTGAAATAGCCACTTTAAGAATCATATCATAATCTTGAGAGAGTACTAATCATTTCTGTTTGGGTTCACTAACACTTCAAAATCAGAACTATGTTCTTTATATCTAACTTAAATCATTTCCTGAAACATTTTTGACATGATTCCTTTTTCCTTTAAACAATGTTTGAAAGATGTATTTTAAATCTAAACAAAGAGCAAATTAAGCAGAATAATTATGATATTCTCAGGCTACTTCTATAAGCTATTTGCAGGGTCAAGGGGGGAGTTTGGGCTATTATATTATTTTTCATTTGTTTGTTTTGTGCAACATAATCCAGGTAAGACCTCCTCTCCCCTGCCCAAGAAACATAGCATAAGGACCTAGTCTATACTGAAAGTTAACACAAAGTAATTTGTTTTATTTTATTTCTCAACAAGGAAACAAACTTTTCAACTTCTAGCAGCAAAAGAATACACAAAAAATAA